CTGTTAAAGGAACACTATAGTCACCTATATTACTTTAGCTAAATAAAACAGTTTTAGTGTATAGATCATTCCCCTGCAATTTCACTGCTCAATTCACTGTCATTTAGGAGTTAAATCACTTTGTTTCTGTCCCTAGCCACACCTCCCCTGGCTATGATTGACAGAGCCTGCATGAAAAAAAAACTGGCTTCACTTTCAAACAGATTTAATTTACCTTAAATAATTCTATCTCAATCTCTAAATTGAACTTTAATCACATACAGGAGGCTCTTGCAGGGTCTAGCAAGCTATTAACATAGCAGGGGATAAGAAAATCTTAATTAAACAGAACTTGCAATACAGATAGCCTAAATAGGGCTCTCTTAACAGGAACTGTTTATGGAAGGCTGTGCAAGTCACATGCAGGGAGGTGTGACTAGGGTTCATAAACAAAGGGATTGAACTCCTAAATGGCAGAGGATTGAGCAGTGAGGCTGCAGGGGCATGTTCTATACACCAAAACCGCTTCATTAAGCTAAAGTTGTTCAGGTGACTATAGTGTCACTTTAAAGATTGATCATTTGTATATTTGTATCAGGTCAGCTTCAGTTTGTTTATTCTCCTCTGATTTCTTTTTTTTTTATAGTGACGAGGTGTTTCCAGAACTGCCTCTCTGTGGATATGTCTTTGGCTCATTTAAAGACTTTACTAGGGACAGCTCAGAGTAGTTAGTTTATAGAGCCGTGTTGTATAACAATGTGTATTCAGTTTATGCTCCAAACAGTGAAAGACCCAAGAGAAAAATATACACATTCGGCAGCTTCACCAATATTTATAGCAATAAACTATGATTTTCAGACAAGGTAGACTCACAGCAAGGTGCAAGAATCCAAATCCCCAGGTGGTTCAGCATATGGTTCATTCTCTCCAATGATAAAACATATAAAGCTGGTAATTTATAACAAGCCCTTTATCAAACAAAGTCATATGAAAATAATAAATAAAAATAATAACAGCTTCCAAAAATCACAAAATGCAGGACAAACTTCATACCAAAGCCATATGTATATCTCAGCTCCCCAGAATCCCTACCTCAAGGAAGACGTGATAGACATTCAGCTATGGGGTGTGGTCTGTCCCTCCTCAGACAATAGGCGAGGTGATGTATTTTTGCTATACCTGCCTATTTTGTGATATTTGGGAAAGTTTTTCTGTTTGTTTTCTTATTTCTGTAATACTTTGTTAATGGGAAACTGTACAAGAATCCAAACAGAATGGTAATTAGGGGAATATTGCATTTAGAATTTGTGGCGGTATCAGTTGGTTAATCCAGTCTACATGTGTTTGCAGTCAGGAAGAATAATGGGCATCTGAGATCTGTACTGATTCCACAGCAGCAATGTTTGAGTACGTATTCTTCATAAATAATGCCCCGTGTTGCCACATCAGCTTGCAATTTTAGGAGTATCTGTAGGAGGAGTAAGGTTTATATTATAACTTGATGTATCAAAATTAAGCCGCTCTGTTCGTCAGGTTTTACCTTTTAATAATAAGAGGAAGCTTTGCCAGGACTGAGCTGGTGTAATCATCCTTGGCTAACAATCGGCATCAATTTGCTAGCAAGCTCCTGCACTCCATAAAGAGCAAAATAAAATGGTTATTTGCAATCATTCCATGCTTCTTTTTATTGGAGACAGTGCTGTAAAGAAGAGATACAATTTTACCCGTTTACTGCAAGATAGATAGATAGCCACAACAGATGAACGAGATAGATAGACAGACTTTAGCCATTCTTTTCCAGGACCATACACACCAGAGACAAATGGTGTATGTATGTCTGTGTGTAGTGTCAGGATATGTGGATTCAAAGTATATTTAAATACAAGGTTTTTTGTTTTTAAATATGGTAGATTATTACATGTGTGTTTGTGTAGCATGACAGTATGTATAAGGAGCTATGTGTGAATTGTGGCAATTTGTTTGTATGAGGTATGCAGGCCTCCAAGTTTTGCCTCTCGAATTACAAACCAGGTGTGAAAAACTACAAGCCACCTTAAAGGAACACAACAGTGTCAGGAATACAAGTTTGCATTTCTGACACTATATGTTTAAAATAGCCGTTAAGGTTCCCGGCCCCCCTTATCCACCATGTTAGAAAGGTGATTTACTTACCTTTTTTCCAGCACTGCCTCGGTCTCCTCATGGCTGGCCCCGCCCCCACTCTGTTTCCTTGGTTGAGATCATAAAATTAGATGATCTCAGCCAATCCAATGCTTTTCTATAGGAAAGCACTGGAAGGTTATTGCACATGCGTAGCAAAACGCCATGCTGTCCCACTCAGCATCTTCTCATAGAGTTGCACTGAATCAATGCTTCTCAATGAGGAGCGTTCACAATGGGCAGCACTGACCCATAAAGCACCTCTGGTGTCTGAGTGACTGTCACTAGATGTGTTCCTTTGCAGTGTTTACATTAAAAAGCCTGCAGGGACAGGCAGTATACACCAGAACAACTACATTACGCTGTAGTGGCTCTGGTGACTATAGTGCCCCTGTAACTGCTTGTGTTTTTATTTTTTATAATTCAAGTATGTCCATGACACCAGGACGAGTATGCAGGGACATATTTATATTGAGGGTCTTTATGTGTGTGTAAGGGCAAGGCTATATTTGCATGTAAAGTGCAGATAGGAGAATTAAGAAGGGGGTGAAAAAAAACCAGTCCACTTAAAAAGACTCCCTAAAGTGGAGCGCTGAATTAGTACTCACCCCTATAACCCAGGGGTATTCGGTATCCCAAGCGGAGTTTAAATATGTAAAACAAAGATGAGAAAATACTCACAAATATAGTCAGGAAATGCAGGGGTGTATAAGTACAGAGAGTGAATGTGCTTGACTGCAGGGGAGTAGGTGTGAAAGAATGCACTAATAATTGCCACCACTATATCACATTAGTAGTAATTGCAGGGGGAATAGTAGATGTATGGAACTATTAGTAGACGATTAGGGGTAGTAGTGGGTGCCAGGGAGATAGAGGTAGTAGTGGGTGCAGGGGGTATAGGGGTAGTGCTGGGTACCGGGGGGATATGGGCTGTAGGGGGATAGGGGATAAAGGGGGCAGTGGGAAAGATTAGAAGATGATTAAGGGTAGTTGTGGGTGCCGGGGGAATAGGGATAGTTGTGGGTGCAGGGAGGACAGGGGCTGAAGTGGGGGCGGGGGTAATAAAGGTTGTAGTGATTGCAGGGGGGAGGGACTTTAGTGGGTGCAGGTGGTAGGGAATGTTGTCAGTGCAGGGGGGTAGTGAGTGTAGTGGGTGCAGGGGGGTAGGGGTTGTAGTGGGTGCTAAGGGGTAGGCGTTGTAGAGGGTTCTGAGGGTAGGGGCTGTAGGGGGTTAGGGGCTGTAGTGGGTGCAGGAGGTATAGGGGCTCTAAAGGGTGCCTGGGATAGGGGTAGTTGTGGGTGCCTGGGGGTTATAGGAGTTATTGCATTAAGAGCAGTGGTAAAGGGAGTGTAGGTGGTTATAAAGGGCTATGATTGCTAAGGGGGTTGGAGAGATAGAAGCTGTAAAGGGGCAGTACTGGGGGAGATTAGACACTAAAACGTTTTTAATTGAAAGAAAAAAAAAAGGATTAAAAAATATATTTCCTTCTACCTGAGTCTTACCTTTGGCCAGGGAGGGGGTAATTCTTATCCTTGGGGTGGATGCATGGCATGGTGTCATTTCCTGCAGAACCAGCCACACAGAGGTACCCTGATCAGTGTTACAGGGTGCCTGCATGCTCTGTCTGTCTGTGCTGATCTGCTGCCCGACTGTGCTCAAAATACACCTCTCTCTCTTCCTAGATTACCACGAACCTGAGCCTCTCTATATCACTGAGCCCTAAGGTATTATTTATTTATAAAATATTTTATCAGTAAAGATACATTAAGATTTCTCTCTTTTTCAAGTATGTTCTGGGTCCACAAAACATTGCATCATTACAGTAGGGTACAATAAAAAACAAAAACAATAATACACAACATATATACAAAATTTAACATAGAACAGGTAAGATATATATAATCAGCCATGACAGGTGCATTCTGTTTTGAGATATGTAGAGAGGGATCTCTTAAAGGATTTTGGGCTTGGGGAAGATTTTAAAGTGTGTGGGAGGTCGTTCCATAATTGCGGTCCTCTGTAGGAAAATGAGGATCAAATCGCTTTCTTTTTGTATTGAGGTAGACAAAGTAGAGTACTGGTACTGGATCGGAGGCTATAGGAAGTGAGAACAGCCCCGAGGGGAGCATTTTGCTCAGGTAAGGTGGGAGCTTCCCAGAAATGCTCTTAAACACAAGGCTGGAAAGATAAAGGGTGCGTCTGGATTCCAGAAAAGGTAAGAAAAGGGAGTACAGCTACTGACAAGAATGGATCCTGACTGATTTATCACATTGTTCCAAATGCCATATTTAGCTCTAAGAGTGTTATATTTAGCAGAATAGGCTAATATCCGCTCCTTCTCTGAGCACATTGTTTTCCAGTAGGCTGGAGATCTTTAGCAGGCAACGTCCTGATTGATTTTACAATTCTATCATGCCATTTTCCCTCATCCCTCACTTCTCTCTCTTTTAATTACCTTCTCTGACTTTTTTTTATTCTATAGCCAGTATACCCCTTCCAATGTAATGAATGTAGCACTTGCAAGAAGCAGGGACATCCACAAGTAATATGTGTATTTTTCATTTGTTTCAAAGCTCTTCCTTTGTAATTTTTTTTCCTAATAACAAAATTGTATTTTCCAGTCTGCTGTCTTTGCTTCTCTTGCTTATGGTTTGAGCCTAAGCAGAATATGCCTGTCTTTTAACCTTCCTCCCACACACAGAAACAAGCCCGCACTCTGAGAAATGTATTTGTGGACAGTTTCTGGGAAGACAGTAGCAGAGGAAAATAAGACAAGCAGAGGATTGAGACTTCTGCTTCTTCATGGAAATCATGTCACAGGGAAAGTTCACCACCCTCATTTATCCAAAACAGGAGATCAGCAAACGCAAGCTACTGCCTGATCCACCAGATTGTGTCTGTGTGTGTTCACTGAAAAACCCTTGTGGTGAGAATCTTTATCCTTCTGCCAGTTTCTGTAACCTCTTTATTTCCAAGAGCAGACGTGACGTCAAAGGAATCTGCTTATCAAAGTCGTCCGGCTGCCAGACTGTGCTCAAACAAGAACACGTTACAACAGCAAACAGGAATCGGGAAAATATATAAGATCTATTTTTAAATATATTTCCTCTTTTTCATGTTTTTCTAGATATCGACAGTGTTGTAAGTAGAATACACGTGACAGACTGGAAATGACAGACACAAGCTGTCAGCACGAGATCCAATCTGTGTCTCGCTTATCTCAAGCTGACTACCGGTGTTTAATTTAGAATGTGTATGGCCAGATCTATAAACAGGTGGATTGATGTTAATCTCATGTTTTTTTTGTTTGGTAGACTATTCGCAAGATTTGGCAGCGTTTGTATTTTTTGTCACAATTGTCTACAATAGATTCCATTATACCTTGTAACCTTTCACTTTCCAATATAAGGCACTATATAAAAAATATACAGGTACCTCCCGTTTTTGAATCTACATATAATAGGCTCTTCTTTCAGCGCAGGAATGGATGGCTAGTAATTGCTGCTGTAGGAGGTGTTGTGGGTACCAGGAGGACTTAATAAAATAAAAGAGGTAGGCCAACTGTTATATCTGTATTTGTGTACCAGCTACTGGATCTAATTCCATTGCAAGGTTAAAATAAATATGAAAATTAAAAACTGAGGCTGTTATTTTCAGGAAATGTTGAACCATGTTATGATTCCCCTATACTGTACAATTCTTGCTCATTTCCCCTTCTTCATTCTGTACCGTATAAAACATGTGCCTCAATCAAATAAAGAATGTAAAAAAAAAAAAATATATATATATATATATATATATATTTGTGTTAGGTGCTTAAGATAGTACAGTATGAAATACCATGAATAAGCGTAGGATGATAAAAGGAGCAAGTCGGTTGTGGTGTGGCGAAACCGACGATGAGGTAGGCCTGAGAAAGAAGAGGGCCCGCCCAGGAAAAGAAATAGAAAGGAAATAAATGTTAAAAAGTGGTGTGGTGGGAGGGTCATTCAACGCTGACCTCGAATGGTAAGGAGCAAGGTAAGGGGAGTGCCTTAAGTAGGCTAGTGGTAGCAAACCAGCACCTCCCACAAATGCAGGCAAATTGCCTTAATACATATATATATATATATATATATAAAAACATGAAATCCTTGCACTCAGACTCAAAAAGATTACATACCGGGTGCTTGTAGTCCTAGGGAAAAATCAGATATCCACATAGCAACAGGTGACCAGCACTCACAGATTCATGAAAAGGTTACAACAGGACAGATACCAAAGGACACGTTCAGAGGTCATGGAGACCATGCCCCAATGCATCAGAGCTGTTAGGGCAGCATGAGGGGGACCTACACAATATTAGGCAGGTAGTTTTAATTTTGTGGCTGCTCACTGTATGTACACAGACAGACTTATTCATTCATACACACATACATGCAGAGAGACAGACAGACATACATACATAGAGACAGACATAGATACATACATAGACAGACATAGATACATACATACTTACATACATAGAGACTTATACACACACATTCATGTACACAACCACGCATTTGTGTACACATACAGACTCTTATATACAAACAATCTAACACACACTAATACATCTATATACACACACTTGTTTTTTATATTATTATTATTTTTATGAGCTCCCTTGTATTACCTTTAAAGGGAGCTGGAGTCGATCCTCACCCTTTAGCGGTTTCAGAGCTATTCACAACTCAGCACTGATGTCGAGGCTGAAGACATGACACATCCCAGCTCCCAGCACCCAGCACCACTAATGGGTACACAAGGGATCTGGGAAATCAGTGCAGAGAGAGCCAAGACAACCATAGAGCAGGCACCTGCCGCACTGTGCCTCCACCAGCAATGCTCTGTGCACCCCATTACCGTCTCTCACCTTGAGCGCATCCACCATGCCCCCCAGTAAGTATTTTACTGGCTGCAGATGCTTTTTTTTTCTGTGATTTTTTTAAAACAGTTTCTGCCTGGAGGGCTGTCACCCTTGAGGACTGGAGTTGCTCAGAGTCAAACTTACAAATGTGAATAATTGCCATAATATCCATATATCCATGATATACAGTGAGCATTTAACGTCTTCTAACCAACTGATAGTTTGAAGAATAAGTAACCTTTTGACTTCCTTTGAAAACACAGGAGATAAAATATAGATAAAATGATTTTGTCATTAGGCCAAGTCACCTAGCACACTTTAACAGATTTTAGAGCTCATATGTAAATGATGCAAAAAAAAATTCTCTCTGAGGTGGAAAAATAAGTTTAAAAAAAGTGATTAAATAAATTAAATGAAAATGCTGTGTGTTTGTACATTTTTGGATATAAAAATATATATAAAGTTATGTTGAGAGAATATAATAAACCCCCCACCAATTGAGTCAAATTCATAAATGACTATTTAGGATCACAGTCAAATCACAAACCAGATGATCGGAAAGGTCTGGTTATTGAAAAATCAATTCTCCCAGAATTCCTTGCTAGATATACAAATTAGTACAGACAGAAATTATGTTTCAGACTTCATTCCACATGTCTGCATCCTTAGCAATGGAGCAATGTTGTAAACAAAACACATAATCTCTAGAGGGAACAGATGACAATTCACCTTGCTCCGTACTAATCTCCCTCTAAAGCTCATTTTTTGGGAGCCATATTGAGCATTCTGGAGCTAAACGCTTGACTCTACACTCACGAACCAAACCGCAACAACATATGCCATTTCTACACACTCCTAAGTCGAAGCGGCAGAAATGCAGATCTGGGGCCTATCATTCACCTGTGTGCCTCGATTTGGCGACCTTGCTCGACGGCTTGATTCCTGCAGGAGATCCTGTGTCAGGGTCTGCACCCAGCACATCTCGCCCTATGCTTCAACCTGATATGGGAGGTAAGAACCAGCATCCCACACCTGAATTACCATCAAGGTTTGAGAGATATCAGGGCCCTACAACAACGGCAGCCTCAGACCAAATTGGCAGTGCCTCAAGGCCATGCGGCCGCGGAGGCCCAGCTGGATTACTTGCAAACCAGCTCAACATGGCGGTGGCCGAAGCAAACAGATCCAGACACCCAAAGAGGGTCAGACCCTGTTACCAAGCAAGATTTCCATAGCCTTGTAGCTGAAATCAAGAATCTCCTGGCTGGCGATCATTAAAGCCGACAGCAAGCAATCACCGACAGAATGAAGACCTCCAAGGAGGACATTGCTGGCCTCAAACAAAGACTGTCCATAATACAGGTCTCTGTGCATCAACTGTAGGCCGTCCAAGTTGCCCTTACTATTCACTATATGGCACTGGACGACAGGTCCACCGTAATCATCCCATGATACAGGGGCATACCTGCTGCAGTCACACCTGAGGAACTTCCGCACTATGTCCGGCGCCTCATGGCCTCAGTGTTGCCACCAAACCAGGCAAAGAAGTTTTCTCTGGATGGGACCTACTGCCTTCCGGGTACTGGTGGGGTTCCCACGTCTCAAGATGTTATTCTCTGCTGTTCACTGGCTCATGATAAGAGAAACCTGCTGATGGCTCTGAGTGGCAAGATGCCATTTCTATTTGAAGGCTCCCATCTTACATTCTATCAGGAGTTATCCCGGTCCACCCTGCAGTGGCAACGATCTTTATACCACATCACCAGTCAACTGAGAGCTGCTGGATTGGAATACCGATGGATGTCACCAAGGTACCTTGTGGTAACACACGAAGGGAAAGCACCCAAAAATCAGGGCAACTTAGGCACCGGGGACCCGTGGTTTCTAGTTACGCCTCTGCCTCCGACCTTGGCGCATTGCAGGGCAGTCATGTACGGGACCCAGATAACACTGTCCCTCTTCACCCTGCGCCTAAACCAACCCCTATACCAGGGACTTTAGTTCAACAGGGACAGTAATGCCTTAATGTGGTTCGAAGTTAAACTTCTTGGTTCGCTTGAATATTATTGTTATTGTTTGCTTTAATGTCACCCAATTGTCGCTAAGCTGAATACATAGCATCTCCTCCTAAGAGGTTATGCAGTACCTGGCTCCTTAACCACTGGAGCGCTGTTATTTTGACCTACATAGTGTATGTTTTGCTCCTTACCCGGGGTCTTCAGCTCTGCAGCCCCCATGGTTAGGGGTGCACTAGCTGACGGCCTGATATTTTACCTACTAGTAACCCCAATTGTAAATCTTTACTGAAGTAATGGGTTTTAGAACCTAGTCGCTCTGTATACTCTACATACTGCTCATTCCTCGCTGTAAAACCTTCCTACATAAACTTTTTCAATGCTTGTCTACCATATCTCTGTAAATGGTACTCTAAACTATGATGTGTAATTTCATAGTCTGCATTTCAATTCATGTTTTACGAATGATAATAAAAAAAGATTGTCAAAAAAAATAATCTCTAGCTCTACATCTGTAGTAAAATACTCCCAGCTGGTCCATTGTTAAAAAAATTGGTATTTTAGGGCCAGTTTTGATTTTGTTCAGGGTATCGATGAAGGGTAAATCACACTTACTTTTATCACTTCCGCCATGTCTAATGCATGAACTAACTTTTCCCCAACTATGAACCTATCATTGCCGTCCAAGGTTGGATGGATAATGCAGAAGTAATCTTCCAAATTATCTGAGCTGCAGTAGAGGGCAGGCTTTGGGTTCTGGGGAAGGTGTTGTTTTGTCAAATCTCCCCAAAAGAACCCAGAGCACCATAGCCACTACAATTACCCCTAGTGTTTATGCTGCTTAGAATGCACATTTTACCTGTGCATGCACTGTCAATGTGGCTAGCACACTGTACATATTATATATTCCCTATAATGTGACACCATCAAGTTTGTCGTGACAGGTGTACCATAATGGATGGATACTTACATTACATACGTAACATACAAATGATTTAAAAAAAACAAAAAAAAAAACACAAACACACACTACAGGATATCACTAATTTTATTCCAGCCCTGCAGTATGTTTTCCAGAACCTCTCCCGCCAGGGCCATCTGTTACCGTTGTTTTGAGCGCATTACAGGCTTTTCCGATGTATAGCTCTCACTCTCCCCCGTACATGAAGAAATCTGCATAGCCTACTTTTAACTCACTAATGGAAACAAACGCCCTCTGCCCACCTGGGACACACAAACAAGCAACAAATATTTTACTTGTGCAGCCAGATGGATTAACTAGGGAGCTGGATTTAGGGGCTATTTAAAACTAGTTTCCAGCAATTGAAAAAAAAAAAAAATATATATATATAAAAGTAAGAAAGTGGTTGCA